TGTTTAGATCTTTAAGCGATTCCTTATATTTGCCCATCATGCGGTAAGTTTCTCCACGATTACTTAATGCAAATGCGCAGTTTGGTTCGATGCCTAAAGATTTATTTAAGTCTGCAAGTGATTCTTTATATTTGTTCATCATACGATAAATTACTCCCCTATTTCTTAACGCAGATGCGTTATTTGGTTCAACTTTTAATGATTTATTTAGGTCTACAAGTGATTCTTTATATTTTCCTATCATACGATAAATTTCTCCACGGCTTCTTAATTTTTCCACATTATTTGGTTCGATTTCTAATGCCTGATCTAAGTCCTTAAGCAAAGTTTGGTATTTAATCATACGGCGTGCATCTCTACGACTACATAACGCAAACTGATTATTTGGTTCAATTTCTAATGATTTATCTAAATCTTCAAGCGCTTTTTCAAAAATTCCCTTGATCATATACACTTTTCCGCGCATCCTTAATGCAAATGTGTTATTTGGTTCAATTTCTAATGATTTGTTTAAGTCTTTATACGATTCTTCATATCTGCTTGTTATGAAATAAATATTTCCACGTTTTCTTAATGCTTCCGCATTTTCTGATCTTAGCTCTAATAGCCTAGTAAAATCAACAAGTGCTTCTTTATACCTTCCCATTTTGAAATAATCTTCTCCGCGATTTTTTATCGTTTCTGGATTATCTAAGGGAGTTGTTTGTTGAATCACTTGCTGTCCATCAGATATTTGTTCTGTACATAAATAATAATAGGACATTGTTAATATATATATGCAAACTTAAATGATCAAAATTAGATCAAAATTCCCTATTCGATTTATATTTATATTCATAAACATTTAAAATTGGATTATTATTCGAATAGAAAAGATCTAATTATTATTTTATTCTAGGAGTACGTAACAAACCTATTGGATTCTGATGCTCGTGGTAAGTATGATCTATTCGTATACAATCAAGTTTGCTGCGAATTTCTGCTATATTAGGACGTAAATCCGGACGACAATTCCAAGCACTTTCATAAAGAGTTATAAAATCGCTTGGTGTTCCATCAATTGGTTTCTCTCGATTGCCATTTAATACACGATAGGGAATTATTAGATAGTGAATACCTTTAAAAGGAGGTATTCCGCTTGATAACTCCCAAAAAATCACGCCAAGACTGTAAATATCAGAAGGTTTTTTCAGTTTATATCCGTCAATGTCAATGCATTTCGGATCTAAGAAAGCAGTATTTCCATTAATTGTATTGTTTGTTTTAGAGGTTGATAAGTTATTTTCTAACGTTGTTGAGTTAGTTTCTAAATGTAATGATTTTGATAAACCAAAATCAGTAATCATCAGTCTATCATCATGTACCAAAATGTTCCTATCATGCTAAAAAAATAATATTAGATTATTAGATTTGTTTGTTAATATTATATGCTAAAACCTGTAAGTGAATATTTGAAATCTTATTTTACGTGTCAGATTTACATCTGAAAATTACGCCACGCATATATAATTAAATCAATATAATTAAATCACATAATGATATACATTGAGATACGATTCATTATCTGATTTTTGCCTAAATAAAGCTTAATTCGGCCCAAAAACAAATAACGAATCGCATCTCTAAATATACAATCAGTGATAAATACAATGTTGTACAGAAATATTATATATACGTACGTACGTATATATCCTGATAATTTAATTACTTAGTACCATAATTCTTTAGAGATTAAGTCTAGTATGTGGAAACTTAAATTTTCACTTGCAGGTTTTAACTTGGCAATACTAATCTTAAAAGTAAAGAAAAAGTTATTACAAGATCGCGATGAACAATGTTTGCATTATGAAGCCAATTAATGCCACTAGAAATTTCCTTTGCCATTCTAATTTTCGTTTCCCAATTCAATTTAGAAAAATGCGAGCTTAAGTAGCTTCTAAGATCGCCATTATTCGCGTATTGAAGCACCATACAATACGATTTAGTCGTGGAATCTGAATCTGAATCACATGAAATTCATCAATTAGATGTTTTGTGAAAGTTTACTTGCACTGATCGAAAGGTGAAAATTAGTAGCTTATACCGATTTTACAAAGTTAAACAGAATTCATATTGAATTGGTCAACAAAATCGACTCAACATCAAATCGACATCGAAATTAAAAATCAGTTGAATTCTGAAGTTGATTTTAAGTAAAATCCCAAATTCGTCATTTAAATTTTGACTAATTTCAAAATTAAAATTTTATCTTCGAATTTAGGCTTATTTTTTAAATTCAAGGGTTGATTTTTTGACTTGTGATATTCGATCTAAATTTATATGCTGAATTTAAAATTTTGCCCAAAATCAACTTAAATTTTGAAAATCAGCATAAAGTTTCTGATTTTACCCTTTTTGGTCGGTGTTATCTATTGCATAAAGTAACATACCTTGGGTAACTCCAAGAAACTGTACAATATTTCCATGTGGAGCAATTTCAATAATATTTTTTACCTATAATAATTACAAATATATATTATTCAGAAATTAATAACTAACACGAAACATAAGAACCGTGATTTATGCATACCTCTCTAATAAAATCATCATCTGAATCTTCGTTATTATCACCTTGACTATTTCGCAATTCTTTTAAAGCTACGTATTCACCCAGATAATTAGCCTTCCATACAACACCATACCCTCCAGAACCAATTTCCTCAAAATCTTTAAAATAATTGTACTTAAAATTTCTAATATATTTCTCTTTAATAGCTTTTTCAAACCATTCTTTTCTTTTTGAGGATGAAGTCATATTTGTTATTTTAAAAAAAAAATCAATATACAAAAAGATTTTCCTAGATTAAATTGTGCTCGAAAAAGACTTTGTCAGATAAAAATGCCAGAATAAAAAACATGGTTCCGAAGATATGTATTAGATATAAAGATGCTTAGTCAGATTATTAAACAAATTACATATTGTTTATCAATGTTTATCTTTTTGAACACAAGATTTTCCTTTTATATTCATCATTAAAGACATCATTCATTTACGTAATATGTATCAATTGTTATAATTAGGGATGGTAAAAAAACATTTTTCACCGTTTTAAAACATGTGATGCTGTGGTCAGAATATATTAAAATTTAAAACTCAGCATATCAAGATTATAAACATCACATGTTTTAAACCGGTGAAAAATGTTTTTTTACCATCCCTAGTTATAATTATTATTTTTTCCTATTCTAATTAATTTTATTAAGGGATAATTTATATCAGCAGATTTGATTTTCAATCATCTGTTACACGGATAGCTACGCGATGTTGTTATGCAAAATGAAGAACGGAAGATGACGGATTTAACAAAAGAATTTAACTCTTAGTCTCATATGAAATAAATAAAAACTTGAAATAAGTAAACGACCATGCCAAACTGTAAAAGAAAGCACTATACTGTTTGTTGATATTTACGGAATCGGTCTTGTCCTTGAACCAGAGCACAAACACTATTGTAAAATAGCGGAGTGTTCCGTTTATTTAGGACAATTTCCGGCTCGATTGTTTTCTCAGGTGAAAAATTTCCATTATTATTTTTTTTTATATTCCATGACTTATCACGGGACATCATAGAGGCGTTCTTTCCATTTTTATTATATAATATACCATGTATGATATTATTAAAAATTACTATAGTATGGGACACCTTAAACCAGCATGTAAAATAGGCAAGTTACAAATTAGCACAAAGATAACTGATATATCTAGAATTAGACCAAAATTACAGAAACTATTTTTTTACTTTATTAAAATTTTATACTGTTGAAAAATTTTAAAGACATAATAAAACTGCGGTTTAAGGTATATTTCCAGCTGTAGTTCCTAAGTTCCGGTTAAAAGTAGATTACACCATTAGAAATTTTGTGCACTGCCTTGAACGATCAGTTGAATAATGGTAAAGATTAATATAATATTATTATATGACGAAATTTAAATGTTTTCTATACAAACTTTTTGACTTTAAACAAAAATTAGAGAGACTGTTATCCAATTTTATTAGTGAAAAATCGTCAAGATCAATGAGATATTAAATATTTTTACTCACAACTATATTGTTAGAATATTTCTATTATCCTAATACTAATTGCATATGAGGACGACTTCTCCGCATAGTTTTAATTAATAATAATAATTAGGTATGGTTCGATACGTAGAATTTTTGAGAGGCTGCGCAGTAGATTCAAAAAATGCTCGACTTGCCCATTCCTAGGCATAGTATTTTTACATAATATGTCACAAGCCACATGAATGTAATTCAAATTTAAAAATACAGTACACAAATTCTTTAACCGATCTTTCAATAAGATTCTTGATTATCGGTGATTATCTATCAGATAACGATAAATATTTATATTTGTGGTCTCAAATAAAAATTTATAATCAACCCGCATATTTGTTTGTGCTCGTGATGTTTTACATGTAGGGTTGCTGGTTGCAAAAGGGTAGATCGTTACTTGTAATAGATTTTTCCTATAGATTTTTCCTTATTTGATAGATCGGATACATATTAAATTTAGCAAACTAGAAGGATTTGTCTCGATTGTATGCTGAGGTGGCTCAGATCGAACACTTAAGATAGTAAGAGCAAGAAAATCACTAAGTCACGAAAGTCACGAATGTCGCAGAAGTCTGACTAGTTTGACTTATTTGATTTATCAAATTTCGTGAACTTATCGAGCTTATAGAACTAAGTGAACTTAGTGAATTTAGTAGATTAAGTGAATAAGTTTGATCTGTAAGCAATAGTAATTAAAAGCTATAAAAAGGATGACTTTGTACCGTAATAAAGGATAACTCAGTTGGAGTTCAATATTGTTTGGCTCGACTAATCCCCCAATAAGTAAAATCCCGTGTAATAACCATAATCAAATGAAGAAAAGCACGGGTTGTTATATAAAACCCGTGCAAGAAGCGTGTATATACAGTATCTCTCAAAAATATCTTACTATATGAAGTATTCTCTTATTCACGGATCTGTTTTGCTTCATAGACACCTTATTTCACTGACAACCAATTTACAGATAAACGACCCGTTGGTAAAATAAACTGTGAATTGATTTTATTAAATAAACTTGTTTTGTTGGTGAAATAAGCTATCAGTAAGAAGAATTTGTCCATAAAGTGAACCATCCGTGAAATAGTTTTCTGTAAAATAGGATTGTCTACAAATTGATTGTCTGTGAAATAAGACGAAGTGATGATCTACGAAGTGAGCAGTACCAATTAATTAAAGATTTATATCTGAAACACTCAAAATTTATAAGTTTTATTTACCATTCATGACTCCACAGAGTCCAATAATATTTGAACAGTAATCAACTGCTCATAATAGCTTAAGCTTCTATTATATGACTGTTGAAATATATTAGTATATCGGAAGCAATTTAAGCTTTGTACGTATAATAAATGTCATTAATAAATCAAAATTTATTATGATGCTAATACTAAGCCTAATAAATAAAACGTGGCATAGAAGTGTTACAACCAATCAAATCTCTAAAGGTAGACAGATAACAAGTCGCACGTGGTCCAATTGCCAATCAGATCACTTTAATGCGGGCGGCATAGAGCTTTAATGGTATGGACATAATACCTATAAGCACTCAAACTAGCTTGAATTCTAGTGGTCTTCTCAATTTATCAATGAATTTTAAAATTTTGATCTTTCATTGCGGTATAACGGAATTATAGCGATGACAGTATTGCACTACGATTTGTGGTTTTGTGCCAATTATTACGGCAAGTATCATAATTATGTTAATATTATAAATGAAAATCAATGTCAACTATTTTTACATATGATGCACACTAGCATTTCACTATCGAAATGAAACTTTGGAATATTAATAAGCAATTCACGAAGGAAATCCCGAAAATCCCCGTAAAATCAGAAAAGGAAAGATCCACGATCACGCCTGTCCAACCAAATACAAGAGTTTGTGGACGTACATCATCGAACGGGTGCGGGTCAAAATCCCGACAAACAGAATCCCGACAGGTCATAATCCCGACAAAAAAATCCCGACAGTCGAAAATCCCGACAATTAAAAATCCTGACAGCCAGAATTTCTAGGTAGAAAATCCCAAGTATGAGATATGTTTAAAGC